CTGAGGCTCATGGGGAGAGCCTGCATGCAGCCCATATTTCATCAGTTTCTCTATGAGGTTCTTATGGAAGATAGTGCCAAAATCTCAGTAAAGTCCTTCTGAAGATTTGACTCATAATTGGATACTAGTCTGTAGACTTCCAGAGGAACAACTCTCAGGGAGCTGGGAGGAAAGATGATACTGTATCGATCCTATGAACGTCTACATTTGTTTTAAAATCTATAAGTAATTCACAGTAGTAAAGAATACAGGTTAGTATTTGAAAGATGATGAACAATGTTAGATCATGCTCACTGAACTTTTAGAATTTGAACAGCAACCACACAGTGAGTTTCATCAGCATACTTTGTTCTCCCTACATGGTTTTTCAAGGAAAAATATGTTTAGTAGATTTCTGTGCACATTATCGGGTTTCTTACCTCTCTTTTGTCATCAACCATGTTCCATATAATTTGAAAATGCCTAAGATCATTATAACTTAACAGCTGATCTTCTTCAGTTGAGTAAAACAATGAGAAATTCTCCACAATGATAGCTGAAAACCACAAAACCAAGATACAATATAAAGCAACCCTGTAGTTTAATTTTAACTGGTTAACATTTATAAGCAACAATGAGTATCAACAGAATATGAATTCTGTTGTGCAAACTTCACATTAATAAATGCCTTTAGCTGTATTTTCAGATGAGGATTTTGAATGGGTAATATACTCTCATGCTACATCAATATTCACTGTACTCACTTTTTAAAAGATTCATCTTAAATAGTGGTGAGATGCTTAATCTAACATCTTCTAACTCAATTAACATCAGTGTTAACTGAGGAAGGAAAAGCTCAGAAAATAATATTCCTTAGGGTAACTGTACTCTACAAATACAACACAACTCTCTGTTCAAACAACTTTCAATCCCAAAATTCTTGAGTTTTAGCATATACCACACCAGAGAAATATCAAAACCACCATATGCATGTAAGTTAACAGTGACGGTACAAGTTAACCTCCCTCATAAGTGAATAGCACAAAAGACTGACATCCAACATTCTACATGTCAAGATGGACCTTTATGTTATTGATGTATATTTTCACTTACCAACAAGCAAATTGAGCATGATGTATGCAATGATGACATAAAATGAACAGAAATACATAAGAGCACCAGCATAATTTCCACAGTCTGTTTTCCAGTAGGTGCTATTATCTGGCGTACAAAATGGAGGCTGAACCTTCAAAACAACAGAAAACAAAGTCAATCAGACATAAAAGAGATTCTTAATTCCCCTGCAATCAACAAAATATTTATGACTACAATTTCTTTAAAGCTTCTCAATTAGGGAATCATATGGTGGGCATTACTGTGGGCAGGTTTTTGTAGTTCTTTAGTAGTTTGACATCAGAAAACAGAGTCTGACAGAAAAGGCCTAGGCATGGGCTTTTCCACCACAACGGGAAACACACACAGAAATTTATGTGGGCAAAATAAAATGATTCAAGGACAAATTCTGAGATCATTAAGACCACCATTCACACAGAATGAGCCAAAGTGCAGGTACTGAAGACAAAGTTAATCAAAAAAGTCACCTTGCACCCGCCAAAGCAGAGATAACGGTGGAAAAGCAAATTACTGCACTTCTGATCTTGATAACATATTTTTATTTCTGTTTTAAATCCTGCAATAGCCCAGTCCCATGAAATACTACACTGTGAGTGTGTGATTGGAAATGCAGTGTGTGTCGTGGACATTTTATCTCTTGAAGAGATAAAGGCAATCACATCATTCCCTGTACAAAGTTCAGACACTGGAAACACTTTTAGATGCAAGGGTGTCTCCTGTTTCTTGCCTACTTTATCTCTGGCAGTATTGTATTTACCATGCAGTCATGCATAATTTTGTTCCAGTCTTCTCCAGTAACTATTCTGAAGAGTACAGTAATAGCCTTGCCAGCTGATGAAAAATTTGCATGTCTGTTTCAAAGAATAAGAGAGAGAGAGATCATTTCACATCCCATAACTAAAATGTTGGCAAGAAAAAAAAATGCAAATAATTTCCATTTTCTACTGTTCTACTATTAAAAACTAAAAATAGTTACAGTATTAGCTGAATGAGCTCACTGAATTATTTATTGCATGACTTAAGATATAATAACTGAACTTTGGTTCAACACAGGTCTGAGTATTTTGGTTCAGTTAATCAAAGAGCTAAAGTAGACTCAAGGCTAGATCCTATCTTCCATCTTCATTCTCTTCCCAAACCCTGATGATGCTATTGGCAGGGAAATGCCCAGTGAACAGGCAGTTCACAGAACTGTCCCCTCTCTCTATCAGCCTGATATATGGAACCTTTTCCTGAGTGAGGCCAATAA